TGCATGGATCAGTTTTTCTGCATCATTTTTAGATAGGCTGTTTCTAATTTTAGCGATATTACGCAGGTGGAAGAAGGCGGATCTATTAATGTTTTTAATGTGGCAAATAAAAAACATGTCCTAGTAAGTAAGTAAGTAAAACTTTATTTATATAGCGCTTCTCAAGATAAAAATCACAAAACGCTTCAACAAATCAGATAAACATAAGCAAAAAACAAATTCAGGGAAAAGCAGATTTAAAAAGATAAGTTTTTAGCTGACCTTTAAAAGAAATCACTGAGTCCAGTGATCGGAGAGTTTGAGGAAGAGAGTTCCAGAGTCTTGGAGCAACGGAAGAAAAGGCTCTATCTCCTTTAGTTTTCAATTTTGTCTGGGGGACAGTCAGCAGGCCTTGATCACAGGACCTCAGAACTCTGATCGGTGTGTAGGGATGTAAAAGTTCTGTTATGTAATTTGGTGTTTGACCATGTAAAGCTCTCCAGGTTAAAACCAAAACCTTAAAATCCACTCGATGTTGAACTGGGAGCCAATGCAGTTGCTTTAAAAGTGGTGTTACATGGCAATACTTTGATGATCCAGTCAGGAGTCGAGCCGCAGCATTTTGCACAGACTGCAACTGGTCTAGGGAGGTTTTGTTTAAACATGTATACAGAGCATTACAATAATCCAGGCGATATGAAACAAATGCATGAATTAACATTTCCATTTCTGGACAGGAAACAATATGGCTAAGTTTGGCAATGTTACGCAGATAGTAGAAACAGGAATGAACCAGAGACTTAATATGATTTTCCAGAGTAAAACAAGAGTCAAAAGTTAGCCCAAGATTTCTAACCAAAGACTTAGCTAAATGACCAAGAGGTCCAAGGTTCTGCTTTATCACTGCAGTTGTTTTTTTCTGGAGCAAAGATGATTACTTCAGTTTTCTCGCTGTTCAGCTGAAGAAAACTTTCTGTCATCCAGCTTTTAACTGATTCCATACTGTTGAGTAAGATTTGTATTTTTGAAACCTCATTTGGTAAAAAAGAGATGTACAACTGAATGTCATCAGCATAACAGTGATATGAGATATCCTTAAAAGATGACAGTATTGGACCAAGAGGGAGCAGATAGAGCAAAAACAACAATGGCCCCAGAACAGAGCCCTGAGGAACACCAAAATGAACAGGGCAGGACTGGGATCTGAAAGTAGAGGAAGTCAAGAAGACTGATCTATCGGACAGGTAAGAGGACAACCATTTTAAGGCAGAACCTGAAATACCAGCCTAGCTCTTCAGCCTGTCCAGCAAGGTCAGATGATCAACAATGTCAAAAGCCGATGTCAGATCCAGCATAAGCAGCACAGAACATTTTCCTGCATCTCGTTGCATCAATAGATCATTTGAGACCCTAAGGAGAGCTGTCTCAGTTGAGTGGGATTTACGAAACCCAGACTGAAAATGGTCCAGAATACTGTGTTGATCAAGAGCAGCAGTTAACTGCTGGACCACAACCTTCTCAATAATCTTAGCCTGAAAAGGAAGTTTGGAGATTGGCCTGTAACTGCTAAATGAAGAGGAATCTAAATTAACCTTTTTTAAGAGCGGGTGGATGACAGCACTCTTTAGGCAAACAGGTACTTGACCAGAAGCTAAAGAAGCATTTACTATGTTCAGTACACTAGGACCAATGCACTGAAAGACACCCTTAAACAAGCCTGCAGGTAGAATGTCCAGAGAGCAGGTGGATGTCTTCATGGAGCTAACAAGCTTAGCGAGCTCATGAAGGGACACTGGCTGGAAGGAGTCTAAAATAACAGGCCGAGCTAGAGAGGGAACGTCCCCGTAAACGTGTTGAAAGAATGTGCCAATCAGCTCTGTGAGGTGCTGGCAGACATGTTTAACACCTCACTTACCCTGGAGACAATACCACCTGCCTGAAGACTGCCACCATCATCCCAGTCCCAAAAAGCTCTACAGTGACTGGTCTGATTGACTATCAGCCAGTTGCCCTCACCCCGATAGTCGCTGAATGCTTCGAAAAACTGGTCATGACCCACATCAAAACAACCATCAACATCGAGGACCGTCATCAGAATGCATATCGTGAGAACCGATCAACAAAGGATACCATCTCCTCTGTGGTCCACACTGTGCTCAACCACCAAATTGATTCTTCCCCTAACAGCTTACTCCAAAGTAAGTTGTTGGGAAAGAATCAGTTTTGTTGTGTTTCCTTGACTGATGAAGCCTTCCGGATCGAAGGCGAAACGTTTCAGCACAAAAAAGAAGAAACTGTCCAGATGACCTGACTGAAAAATGTTGGATTGTATGCCTGGATTATTGAGCATGGACTTTGTTGTTTTCAACCAGTTTGACAAGACAGTCAACAAGGAAGAGGGCTGGCAATGGAGGAGGGGGCGTACCAATGAGACCATCTTATCACAAGCAGAACTGGTTTGTTCCACTTTGGAGTAAGCTGTTGGGGAAAGAATCAGTTTTGTTGTGTGTTTCCTTGACTGATGAAGCCTTCTGGATCAAAGGCGAATCGTTTCAGCACAAAAAAAAAGAAGCTGTCCAGATGACCTGACTTAAAAATGTTAGATTGTATACCTGGATTATTGAGCATGCACTTTGTTGATATTGGATGATATTTCACTGAGATATAACTGTTGGGATAATCTAGGGGGCACACTCGAGTGATAAGTTAAAAAACAATACCAATGTGTCTAGAAGTGTTCACCAATTACGCACCAAAAATCTGGTTCAGATCAGATGATATATCACTGAGATGGAACTTTTGGAATAATCTAGGGGGCGCACTTGAGTCAAATGTTAAATAACAACACAAATGTATATAGAAGTGCTCACTGATCAGGCACCAAAAATCTGGTTCAGATCAGATAATATATCATTGAGATATAACAGTTTGAATAATGTAGGGGGCGCACTTGAGTCAAATGTTAAACAACAACACCAATGTGTCTAGAAATGCTGACAGATGACACACCAAAAATCTGGTGCGGATAGGATGATGTATCACAGAGATATAACTGTTGGAATAATGTAAGGGGCGCACTTGAGTCAAATGTTAAAGAACAATATCAATGTGTCTAGAAGTGCTCACTGATGATGCACAATAAATCTGGTGCAGATCAGATGTTGTTTCACTGAGCTTTAAATATAAGAATAATGTATGTGGCGCTGTGGAGGCTATTGGCCACTTATCATGGATACCTGTTCAAGGGGCGTATAATGATCGATCATCGTGATTTTGGTGCACCTCGGCTGAAATCTGTGCAATTTAGAGCCAAACGTATTGCAACGGTGTCCTTTCTTAATTCGCCACGCCCACAACTTCAAGCAAAAATGGTTTGCGCTTTAAATCAAATCAGACCATATTATCTGTCTTCTAAGACAGGATCATCCTGATTAGGTCATTTGTGTCAAAGAGGGAGCATTCCAAGTTAAAAAGAGACTTCCTGTTCCGAGGGGGCGGGGCTTTGATGACTGTAAAATACGATGACGTAGATCATCGGGTATCCAACAGGAATGAGTCATGCCAAGTTTGGTGCATTTCGATCTTTCAATGTGAAAGTTATAGTGTTTGGAAATTTATTGTGTGAAGCGTAACTTTGAGGCCTGGCCACGCCCCTTTAACATATACGAAAACGCAAGCTTTAGATAACTTTTACTCTCCAATGTTTTAAGGGCATATCAACCAAGTTTGAAGGCAATCCTTCAAAATTCCTAGGAGGATTTTGTTAAAATTTGCAATTAGAAAAGCCCAAAAATGATCCTTTGACCCAAAATGGCCGACTTCCTGTTGATTTTGGACCAGGACTCCAAGAGATTTTTCATAGGTCCTGAGAAGATACAGATGTTCACTGAGTTTCAGAATTATCGGTCCAAAAATGGCTTGGGGCTGAGATTTTAAACTATTTTACGGGGCGCTGTGGAGGCTATCGAACACTTATCATGGCTTCCTGTTCAAGGGGTAGATAATTATCGATCATACTGATTTTGGTGCACCTCAGTTCATAACTGTGGAATTTGGAGCCAAACGTATGGCGACGGCGTTACATCTTACTTCGCCATGCTACGCCGCCCACATGCTCCATCCAAAACTGTCAGTGTTGGAACACAAGTTACACCAACATGTCTTCGGTCACTGGACACACTATCATGCTGATCAGGTAACAGGGTTCAGATAGGGATTGTTCAATGTAAAACTTTATATACTTTCTGTTGTCAGTGGGCGTGGCTTAAGTGATGTCATGATTTGACCATTCACCGGATGTGGATCAATCACTGAAGGTTTGATGTCTCAGACAGTTTTCCTTTAGGAGCTATTAGCGTTTTGTTTTTCATTGCGAGATGTCAAACTTTGAGGTCTGGCCCCGCCCCTTCAGCATGCTCCGAAACGAACCGTTTACATAACTTTTGTCCCCCATGCCTTTTGACCAAAATGGCCAAATTTGAAACCGATTGAGCAAAATCCCTAGGAGGAGTTCATTCAAATGTGGAGGTTGTAACCCGCCAAAAAGGTGTGAAAATTGGGCCGGCATTCCAAAATGGCCACCTTCCTGTTTATTGTACAATGTTGGTGCCAGAGGGTTTTCTGTGCATCTTGGGGAATTGGACAAGCGTACCAAATTTCATGTTTCTACGACAAACTAAGGTTAATGAGGAGGGTATTTTGAAAATTTCTAGGCGTCGCTCTTAATCTGTTTCTGTTGCGATTTTTGCCACGCCCTTAATATACGTAATTTTTCACCAGTCCTGATGTGTCCGCCAAATTTGGTGACTTTTGGGATATGCTAAGGCCCCCAAAACGCCAATTCGTTTGGCGGAAGAAATTGCAGCTCGGGCCTGAACAGAGCGATTACAATAGGCCTTCGCAGCGCTTCGCTGCTCGGGCCTTAATACAAAATCTTTCAAATCTTAACAACTGTGTGTAAAACTAAGTTTGATCTGTGTTTCAGTGTTGAGGAAGCAGACATCACGTTTATAAACGAGATGGGACTTGACCCTGGCATCGATCACATGCTGGCCATGGAGTGCATCGACCAAGCCAAAACTGATGGCTGTGCTGTGAGTCATTACATGTGTTGTGTTTGAGAAAGACCAGAGACAAAGAGCTTTATTTCTACAGTCACACTGGTTAGCACAGAATTATGAATAAGCATGTTGTTTAGGTGGAGTCCTACAGTTCGTTCTGTGGTGGACTTCCTGCTCCCGAGTGTTCAGACAATCCTCTGCGCTACAAGTTCAGCTGGAGTCCATACGGTGTCCTTCTCAACTCCATCAGCCCTGCCGTTTTCCTCAGAGACAACCAGGTACAGAAACCTTTTGGAGCTAATGATTTCCAACCAAAAAAGTAAAATGTAAATGAAAACAAAATGCAATGATTTGCAAATTTCATAAACCCATATTTATCCACAATAAAGCATATTAACTATATCAAATGTGAACTTTTTTTAACCATTTTTAGTTAAAATTTAGTAATTTTGAATTTGATGTTAGCAACACATCTCAAACAATAGCAAAAAAGGGCTTTAAACACACAATAAGTGGTAATAATAAACAGCTAGAGAAGGATTTTGCAACTGATTAGATTAATAGTCAACTGGTCAGTAAGAAGACTGTGTATAAGAAAGGAGCCTTTTAGAGAAGTTGGATCTCCCGGAAGTTGTGCAAAAAGATGGGCAGAGGTTTACCAGTCTGAGAAAACCTGTGTTGAATAACTGTGAAATAATCTCAGAATTGGGTAAGTCTTTGAATAGCCCATCACCTACATTTCATAATATCATCATAAAATGTCTAAAGTCTGGAGAGAGCTTTGTGTTCAAGGACAAGACCAATGATTGGTGCCTTTGAACTTTTGGCCCTCAGGCAGCACGGCATTATTATAAACTTGATTTTCTGATGGTATGGGGTGCACTAATTCCTCTTGGTATGGGCAGCTTACAATGCTGTCAGTGGTTATGCTCCACAGGTTGGATGCAATGTGGAGGAGAAAGATACATTTTGGAAGGATCTGGATGGGAGAAGGAGATCGATGTTATTCCAAGAGGACTGTGAAGGAAAGGGGAATAAAAGTTATGAAGTGTAAAAATTGTGGCACCAAGGTAGGAAGGAACCTGTAAATTATTTAGTTTTAATAATTACATGCAAGTTGCCAAATCTGACTGTAAAGTCAACAAAGTCCATGCTCAATAATCCAGGTATACAATTCAACAATTTTCAGTCAGGTCATCTGGACAGTTTCTTTTTTTTTTTTTTTTTTTTTTTCTGAAACATTTCACCTTCCATCCAGAAGGCTTCATCAGTCAAGGAAACACACAGCACAAAACTGATTCTTCCCCCAACAGTTTACTCCAAAGTGGAACAAACCAGTGGTGTTGGTGCTTTGACATGACTGTCGACGAGGGAGAGGGCCGGCACCAGAGGAGGGGGCGTGCCAAAGACACCATCTTGGCACCAATATAACTGGTTTGTTTTACTTTGGAGTAAACTGTTGGGGGAAGAATCAGTTTTGTGTTGTGTGTTTCCTTGACTGATGAAGCCTTCTGGATGGAAGGTGAAATGTTTCAGAACAACAACAACAAAAAAAAGAAACTATCCAGATGACCTGACTGAAAATTGTTTGACTGACTACAAAGGGTTTTTGTGTGCGTGCCATTGTAATGCACAGTTAATTAATGTTGTGAAGCTGCATGATGTCAGGTCATGTTCTGTTATGAGTCTATCACTAATCAGAAAACTGTAAAAACCCCTGAATTCACTGCTGCTGGTTATTAAAATGTTCACTGGGTAAACTTAACGTGCTTATTTTTAAACATGCAGTTCAGTGTCACCATTGCTTAGCACAATGACATGTTGTGTTACAAATAAAATAAAATAAAATATAAACAAAATAAAAGTCAGGTGATCCCCTAAAGTCATTGTTTATGATAAATCGTTTCACATTAATATCTTAGATCTTAGTCATAGAAGTGAGTTTAGAAACAGGATGATTCCTATAAGGACTAGTTGAACAAGGCGTCTCTAAAATATCCTGATGCATGCTCAATCATTTTAACACTTTTTTAATCCGTCCAGAGGACCTGACTTAATTTTGTTAGATGTCTCTACAATAATTATTAAATCAAGTGACTACATGTGTAGGTGAACGTAGATGTTTAACAACCGTTAAAATACACCAGGATGCAGGAAATGACATCTACTTTATTCAAAATGTTCTAGGGGAGACCCCACAGACCCCCCACCTCCACTACAAATGCTTCTGTTGCCAACGGGCATGAAAGAGGTGCACAGCCAAGCAGTGGAAACAGGCCATTGAAAGTGTTGTCCAGGCCCAAAAAAATTAAGAAATGACTTTCTGCTGTTGTTGGTTCATTTTTTATTTTTAGTTGACGCCATCTTTCCTATTTATGTCCTCATTAAATTAAGATATGTTAGTAAATGTCTTTTTTACCTGAAGCATGTTGTCTTTTCTTCTAATTTTCTTCTTTGAGTATACCAGAATGCTTAACTTACATACTTAAAAAAAAATCACAAAATCTTCCGGGGGTGGGGGGTGTCGCTAGGTTTGTCACCTTTTGCATCCCTTCTGAGTTTGCAGGTATGGTAAATGGACTGTACTTATACAGCACCTTTCTATCTTATCAAGACTCTCAAAGCTCTTTACAACAATCTGTGCCTCATTGACCCATTCATACAGCTCTATACTAGATCTATACAAAGATAATACATAGCTCCCACACACGTGACCGGTATTGCGCAATACTGGGTTTTCCGCCATTTGTTGAGGCGCATGTGACGAAGGTGCTTACAGACAGACCAGAGCTCAGTATATTGATACTCTTGACCAAGAGCAAGATATAGACATAAAATAGCTGCGGTCTCTATGAGGTGGAGAAAGAAATGATATCAGACGAAACAGACAAGTTGTCACCGAGAAGTTAATTTGATATCGTTAATTATTAATGAACACGAGGAGTGTTACAACGTAGGAGCTTCACAGCTTTAAATCCATGGATGCTTATAATCGATGGATTTGTGAAGGACGTCCGAACTCTTCATGTTAACAAAGTTCTGGTGACTGGCAGAGTAAGTAGTTACAATAATATGACTCCGCGCGATTTATGCGTGTGAACTATAGCCGAACCGAACTGATGAGAATAGGAGCGGATTTGCCTTGAAATATAGCAGAAATCAGCAACAAACTCAAAACTACGCTCGGCAGAATGCAGATCTTAAAGTCATCTACCTGGAAGCTGCAGCAGAGGCGTTCCAGCGGGCAGAAGAGGAAGCGCTGCTCCCGGCTTAAGAGGAGAGGATGCCGGGCGGGGGTTATGGTGAGGCTACGAGCTAACGCTAAAGCCGGTAAACTCCCCATGCCGTCTCTCTTTCTGTCGAATGTCCGCTCGTTGGACAACAAGGTGGATTTACTTCGTCTGAGAGCGGGCGCCTCAGAAGAGATGAAGAAGTGTGCAGTGCTTTGCCTCACAGAAACGTGGATTACAAGCGAAACGCCGGACTCAGTCTTCCAGCTGGATGACAGACTTTTTTTTTGAGCGGACCGCTGCAGCGAGCTAACGGGGAAATCACAGGGGGCGGAGTGTGCATTTACGTGAGTAAAAGTTGGTGCACGAACTGTACTGTTGTAAATAGCTCATGCTCGAAGGCTTTGGAGCAAATAACAGTGAATTGTCGGCCACATTATCTACCCCGAGAGTTCACAGTGACTTTTATCACAGTCGTCTACATTCCTCCGGACGCTAATGCTAATTAGGGCTGCAACTAACGATTATTTCAATAATCGATTCATCGGACGATTATTTTTTTGATTAATCGATGAATCGGCAAAAAAAAAAAAACGTTTTAATTTCCACACCTTTATTCCAAAATTGAACATTTGACTGACATAGCAATTCACACAAAAAACAGGTTGCTATTTGACTATTGTGTTTGTAAAATATTGAATAATAAAAAAATAAAAGTTAGTCAAATAGCTTAAAAAAATAAATGTACACAAAAATATATACAAATGTGTCTTTATACCTGCACAGTATGTAGCTACTTTGTAAAATGTGTCCTTGAGGGAAGAGTGTAACCTGGATTAAAAGTGTGGATTATTGTAACCTGGATTAAAAGT